CACACACACACACACACACACACACACACACACACACACACACACACCCCTTTCCCAAAAACATGCTGGCAAAGATATTAAAATCTATTTGATGAACTTTCTTAATCTGAAGAGGCGTTTCCTAATAAATGATCATGGTGTGATTTTTGCTGCGATCTGTACGACAGATGTTTTCGATAAAATTTTGATCAATTGTGCTGCCTTCATGCTAACACACTAAATGAAGAGGGTACACGTTCCATCCCCTACCCATCAGCTCGCCCACACCTCCATCGTGAGAATGTTGGCAAGAAACGTCTATGAGTGATTGTCGGGAAACAGGAAACCGATCAGTCGCGAGGTTGTCACCCGTCTTTCTGGTCTGATTAACATTCAGACGTCTTGTTTTTCCTTTGATGTGAAAGCTGTGTGTTTAAATGGAAATGTGCTTTTTCTTCCAGCTGTTGTGTCAAGTGATTCAGTCCTGATGATGATGAAACCCTGGCTGACAAGGTCATCAGCTCTGACCACACACACACACACCCACCTCTAGCTATCAACTAGTTTATCAGCGCCACTTTCTGGTCAGCAATAGCAGAGAAAAAGGCAACAATTCCTCATATTTCCGCAGTTCGGTGTTTTGTTTAATAAATTAATTTAAACTAATTGTTGCATATTAATCCCCTAATCGATCAAGTAATTGTTTCTGCTCTGGCTTTTAGGTCCAGCTGTTGTGCCAACACTTCTAGTTAATGAGTATTTACTGTGCGTCAGCTTGATTTATTCATCCACACTATTTTCAGATTTATCCTCAGTGAGGAAACGAAGAGAAAAAGACGACAAGTTCTCACATTTATCCTCATCTGTTTGCGTCACTGAGGCCTTTTAAATCTACCAAGTGTGTGTGTGCGTTTGTGTGTGTGGACTTACCGTCTGGCTGTCAGGAAAGTCCATCTTGATCAGCTTGTGAGCGCACTCCTCAAAGTCCAAACTACAGGGGAAAAAAATCAGTAAATTAGTAAGAGTACATCAGTGTGTGTGTGTCATTTTCTCAATCTGTTTCAGTGTTTCATTCTGTTCTCCAAACCTGTGAGCCGCTCTACAATGAAACCATAGTAACTAGGCTGCACACACACACGGTTTAAACACAGCTTTACATATTAGTCCAACTCCATCAAATATAGAAGGAGCTGTAAATAACTGCCAACACCCTGAGAGACGACTGACTGTGTATTTGTAAGAGTGTGGTAATCTGTGTGTGTGTGTACCTGGACTGGATAGCGAGGTAAATGGTTCTTCTGAAAGCAACCAGGTTGACTTCTGTCTGATCAAAGATGGTGACCTTCTCATCTGAGGGAGGGAGAATTAATAATATCAATATTAATGAATAATTGATTAATATCATGTTAAACAGGTTCATACCAGAATATTGATTAATATGAGATATTAATATTGTGAACAGTAAACAGGGTCAGTTAGCTATTCTTTAACTTTGCTCTACACAAGCTTTGAACTGGAATTTCCCTCATTGTAACTACTTCATCTTTACATCTACTTGACATATTATATTTCTGTTTCCCAGTGCATTGAAGTGGTTTTCATAAAGTTGAAGCACTTAGAGACAGAATAAAAACACTGCTTGACATTTTGGGATAAAGACTATGCTTCTTCTCTTTATTGTCAAGAGTTTGATGCAACCACTCTCATAAATGAGGGTGGTATCAATCTTCTCATCCAACTCTCGGAAAGAGCTTTAAAAAGAGCATTTCTCCCCCAAATGTTAAACTATTCCTTAAAAATAAGCAGCACTCTTAGTGCCTGTAGTACGGGTCCAGCTACAGAAACACTGGATCCTATGTTTCCCATAATGCAACTACACAATATATTTTTTGTTGAACCCTGCCACGTTTAAGACCCGCCTTAAACTCGGCAGCTCCACTTGAGATGACCCTGATGACGTCACTATGACATCATCGGGGTTATTTTCACAACTTGACAAAATTCCTCCAGAGCCACAGATGACATCATACAACCGTTTGGCAGGTCTCCCCGTCTGTCTGTCTCACCTCCTCCCTCCTCCGCCGCCTTCTCATCTTCATCGTCTTCCTCTTCGTGGCTGCCTTCGCCATCCTCCCCCGAGTCACTGCTGCCCTCGTCCAGGATATCTGTCGGGAGGTGACAGGTGATTGGTTAAATTGAGAGGGAAGTGACAGCTGATTGGACGCTTTGATGTTTGTGTGCATTCTGACCTTTTTTAATGGTTTTGTATTTCTCCTCGTTCTCCAGGAAGTCTGGGTCCATCTTAAACACATCTGAGTGAACATAAACACACATGTTACAATTACATATACAGATGTATTTCTGCAGAGAGACTTGTAGAGTCAGGTGGAGGTCTTACTGATGATGTCTTCGGTGTTGTACTCGTCATCCAGTGGCAGCATGTGGGTGAACTGGTCTTCCTCGTCCACCAGGTCCAGGCCCTCTGGGATCACTGCATGATCCTTGAAACCGTCCTTCCTGATGGCAAACATCACCTCGATCATGTATTGGACCCTCTTATCAATGGCCGACTCGTGGAGGACATTCCTGAGACGCTCAAATATGGCTGAAAAGAGAGACAGACAGGTTTTGTAGTCACATTTACGATGAATTGTGCCGATATTTGGGATCTACTTTAATTAGAAAGAGCCAGATCCTCTTACAAATGCAATACTGTAAGTTTAACGGTTCAGGTTAAGTTAAGATTTTCAGGCTAGAAATATTTTCATGATATTTTCGCTTGTTGGAGGTCATACACAGTCTGAGGACAACCTCAGGAGAAACAAAGTCCCTGAAATGTTCATGTTTTTGGAATGAAGCAGGTTTGTTAAAGCTGGATCCCAACAGGGCTCTTTACTTTATTCACAAAGCACTCGTAAAGACAGAAATGAATGAATGAATGCTGTCGTTAATTTCTGCAATTGTAACTACGGATCATTCATTGCAAAATGAAAATCAAAAAGGAAACGGTAAATTAGAAATGATAATAAGTTTTTTTTAACTCAGGATTATCAGCTAATAATTAAATGCTAAAAAGAAAAAAGGATATTTGATAATGTAATGACAATTAGAATTTGTGAAATGGAAACTTTCAATCCTGAAACAAAAAGAAGAAAATCTTAAATGCAAAAGCGTGAACTGAAATGTGTGATCTTAAATGAAAAGGTATCTAAAACAAAACATATAGAGTAAATAAAAATGAATAAAAATGTAAGCAATCCTTTTCTTTGGCATGTTGGCCTTTATCGGACAGTCGATAGTGAAGAGGCTGACAGGCAACGGGGGGGGGGGGGGAGGGGGGTGGGACATGCAACAAAGTTGCCCGGCCTGAAATAGACCAGAGTCAACAGCTGGAGCTACCGTTGATTCCTCGCGGGGACACCTCGGTCAGCTTGAGTCCACACTCCTTCAGGAAGGCGATGGCCACCTCCACGCTGTCGTCAGTCGGACGCTCCAGCAGCAGAGTGAGCATCTCCAGACAGAGAACCTCATGGGCCTGAGGGCGAGAGACAACAGAGCCGAGAGAGAGAGAGAGAGAGAGAAGTAAACACACTTCATTAGAGCTGAACACAAACACTCAAACATGTTAATATTATTAGAAGTAGAATATTATAAGTCAGACAGCAGGACCTACCACGTTCTGGTTGATGAGATGCGCCACAAACTTTGAGGCTGTCAGGCACTGTTGCTGGAACACAAAAGACAGACTGGTTTTAATACACTAGTTAAACTAATAAAGTGAATACGGTCAATGTCTATAATGATAGGGAACACAATTCAAACTTAATGTCAAGAAGACAAAAGAAAAGACTCTTTGCATGTATACATGAAGATGTTTTGTATTGCCTGCCTCTGTATGGGGCTGTGTTGTAATGGCTGTGAAAACAAATCTGGTATTATGAATCTAATCTTAAACATCTTATAAACAGACAGCACAGATAATATCTGTAGTTAGGTGGACGGCCAGCTGTCTCAATCATTTAGGTGTAGTTTCATATTCGTCTCTCTACATCTGAATCATCCAGCTTCAGCCTGACCAAGTTAAAACATATTCACCTCAGTCACCTGAGCAGAGGTGGGAATCTCACCATTAGATTCAGAAGAGATTCTTAATTCAAACCAGTTTCTTAATTCAATAAACAGAAAGGTTCAATGCACTATGAAACATAACCTGAAGTCGAGCTAAATGGTGTTGATGAAGGTCACAGTCTGACAAACAGGAAAGTGTGAAAGAGTCTTCTGTCTGTATGAGAATAATGGAATCAAAGTTACCTTGATCAACTTAACCACTGCTATGTTGTTACCAACGTTAGATCTCCTGTAATGGTGAACAAGCTCTCTCTGGGGAAAGCTATTGTTATTAAAAACACTGTACAGCAGTATTTCTTGTAAAATGAAACAGACCATGGATCAAGTTCTTGTCCACAGTTGGTCAAAGTTTTGAGAAGTGGTGAGGCATCTCCGGGTGATGGTATTTTGACTATTAACAAAAAAATACCCCACCTTTCATCGCAAACAGCGACAGTTAGATAAACAGTCAGACAGACGGGTACCTTGAGGTTGCGGCGGTAGCTCCTCCTGAAGGCCAGGATGAGACGCTTGAGGATCAGCTCTCCAATCTGAGGGAACTTGGAGTTGATGATGGAGACGACGGCGGAGTAGACGTGAGTAAAGGTCGGAGATGCCGCCTGAGCCTGCAGCACCGAGCGAGACAGCAGACCCCTGAGAGACAGACAGGCAGACGGATACAGCGGGAAGTCAGGGAGACAGTCAGTGAGACATAACCTCCAGTGGAATACAGAGGAAAGAAGGTTGCTCTGTTTCACTCTCTTTTATCAATCACGCTGGAAGCATCATTTTTTAGTAAAGTAGCTATTGAGTATTAATGTGAAGTTCCATTGTTCACCTCCCCCTGACGATGTTCTCCTGCAGCAGCTCCTGGATGATGAACACGATGTTGGACACGTTGACTTTGTTGATCAGACCGTTGATGGACTTCTTCAGGGCCTCCCAGCTCATCCTCTGATAGGCCAGGCTGCACAGGAGGCGGGGCGTCAGGGACAACAAAAATTATATGTAGTCGTATAAAAGAATCCCTCAGAATTGAATCGGGTCATGTTTGAGCCAATGTTACATTCCTTATAGCCTGAGATATGAAGTCTGAACATTCGGTAGGAGAAGACGCATATCAGAGATTGTGTCATAAATGTCTGTTGATGCACTGAAAAGACTGAAGTAGACTTTAGCTAGTAATACATGTTTTAATATATGTTTACTCTGGAAATTCGGGTATTTAATCGGGTTTGGCCCGAAACTGCTAAAGTGGTTTGGGCTCAGGTCAGTCTGTGTGGGCTCAGGGATCAGAGCTCTACCTTGAATGCACCGTGTTCAACAGTTTAACCACACAGTGACAATTCAACATTGACCAAGAGATAAAGGTGTTTACAATGGTTTATATTGGTGTAATTAATCTTTTAATATGATGGACCATCTCTCAGCAGCAAGTTTCAAGTCTCCACATGGAAACCTTCATAGAGGAAAGAAAATACATCTACAAACTGAGGGATGGTGTCTAATCCTTGTGTCTATAACAATAAATAAGTAAAACAGTCTCACCTGGTCTTGTCAGTGATTTGCTGCTGCATCATGCGCAGCTTGGCGGGGGGGATGTAAGCTCCACCCGTCCTCGTCAGGATCGGGTCGATCTCCTCCTTCTTCTTCTTGGCCGCCGGCTCCCCTGCCGCCGCCGGCTCCCTGTCTGCTGGAGGGGAGCCGGAGCGCCCTCTCCTCCTGTGGTCCGACTCTGCATCCCGATTGGGCCACCGGTCAAACCGCCCATCCCTATCGTCACGGCGATCGTCATAGCGATCCCTGAGCGGGGCAGAGAGGAGGAGGCAAAATAATCTTCAAAAAACGAATTTTGTTTCCACTTTCAAAAACAACTCAAGTCTGAATTGGTCTGGTGGCTTAAAAATGTCAGACGGTTCTACTGGTTTGAGTAAGTTCACTGATGATGTCACCACGAAAGAGACACCGTTTAAAACCTGATGTAAAAACGTTTTATCGAGTGAAATGGAAAGAGGAGAGATGGGTCAACGTATAGAGTATTTTAGTAAGAATATACAATTTGTATAATGAAAAATATTGTATCTACCCAATTAAAGCTGTATGTCACATATCAGTATTGACAACACTTTGTTTTATATGCTGTTTATATTGTATTTTGTTTATTTTGTGTTTCTGCATGTTCTTGTTTGATATTGGGTTCAATCAGTTTGTTTTTTGGTGAATATTACGATCATAGACTGTACATAAAAAGTGGACATAGTCACGATGATGGAACCCATCGGTTTGTGGACGACAGCTTTGAAGCCTTAGGTTCGTCAATTCGGACGGCGCCATCTTGGTTTTTAGCTGCCGCCTTCTTGATTAACTAAATGAACATCAATTATGCTGCATTGAAGAAGACTTGAAACTAGAGAGTAAGACCATAAACTCATGTTTACAATGTTTACTGAGGTAATAAATCAAGTGAGAAGTAGAGTCATCTTCTCATAGACTTCGATACAATCTGACTTCTTTTTACATCCAGAGGAGTCGCCCCCTGCTGGACATTAGGAATGCAGGTTTAAGGCACTTCAGCATTGGCTTCACCTTTCAGACCTGGAGGTTGCCGCCTGGTTTTGATGTGTGATTTGCTTTACAACTGAAAAAGTGTTTGATGACCTGGTTTCACAGGGTCTTGAACATATCGATCACGTAATTTTAAACTAATAAAAAGTAACTTACCAAAATGTTCCAAGTTAAAAATAACTGCGTGTGTCTGTACGTTACCGTGTATAGCGTCCTCTGTCGTGGCGCCCCCGGTCATGGTCTCTCTCTCTGGACCTGGATCTGTCTCGTCCTCTTGACCTGGACCTGTCTCTCTCTCTGGATCTTGATCGGTCTCTCTCTCTAGACCTGGATCTTTCTCGCTCTCTGGATATGGATCGGTCTCTTTCTCTGGACATGGACTTGGATCTTGATCTCTGAAAATCAAATAAGAGAATAGTGTCAGCAGTATTTCTTCAGTCTTTGGGCATGTTAAAGAGTCTGGATGGTCCCTGAATGATAAACTTGGACCCCTCAGAGAAAACTAGACCAACAGCAAAACATGCAGCCATTTTTAAATGTCCGAGTTTAGCTGAATTAAGTTATTTTCAGAACAAACGCAACTCATTTGTAGCCAATAAAATAACAACTTTTGCTCACACAATCAATAGTTTTCCTATGACATCAATGTTGTTCTTTTCATATTGTCACACATAAATATGCTTATTATTACGCAAATGAGAGTCCTCTTTGACAAACAACGGGATGATTATAAAGACAACATCTGTGGAAGATGATGGTGAGTATTCTACAAAAGATAATTTTGTTTTTGAAAGGTTAATGCCAACAAATATGAATTCTATGAGAATATTTAGCAAGATAAACATGTCGTAAATTAGGAAATGATAACGTGTATAATTGTTCAATATATTTTGACTTTTGGACTGAAACAAGTACAAAGACAAAGACTGAGCTGTCTGTGTGAGAGAGAGGGGAGGACTATTGCACACAATTGGTCTGTAGGTTATTCATAATAATTGGAATATCAACGTTATGAATGAAGCATCAAACCTACAGCCCTATTTATAAGACTTCTAGCAAAGCAAGCACATGAGCTCACCGTCTTTCCTTGAAAAATCCACGGAGGTATTAAGCTGACGATTATAAACTGATGCCTTGTATTAGCCATGAAAAACACAATAATAATAATAATAAACACATTGGCTTCATACGAGTCTGGCAAGTCATGAATGTTGCCAGTGGATATTCCACACTTTAGTTTCCGTCCCCGGTGTGAGAAGACCTTCAGAGAGACAACAGAGCCCCAGTTAAAGATGGAGTCAGTGTGCATCAATAGAGGTTTTCAGTATTTTCTTCACCGGTCACTGGTCTGTTTCATGAAGCCGGCGTGCTAACTTTATCCATAGCTTCTCAATCTCACAAAGATGTCTTGATGTCAACTCTGTTGCCATGGAAACTCAAACTGCAAACCAGCCAAATATGAGAACGGCCGGTTAGTCACGACATGTTCAGCGAGAGCCAAGAGAGCCCGAATAAGCTGAATCCACACTGAGGTGCAGACTCCTGCACAACTCCAAACACAAGTGTTGAAGATATGGGATGTATACATACACACACACACACACACATACATATATCCCAGAGAAGTGGCAGAAAACTGATAGATGGATACATTTTGAGAGGCTCTTCAGAATCTCAATATTTAATCATACACATGAATTATGATATTTCTTGCAGCACTGCCGTCACAGCAACATTTTTCTTATCATCACCTATCTGTACATGCATAAGAGTAGAAGTCTACATAGCGCCCCTCCCCCTCAACAAATTGGAGTTTCTCCAGCAGAAGTTTTGCAAACCCTGAACCTCTAGAGAAGTTTGGTGCCCACAACCAGGGGGCACCAAACTTCTCTATTTTAACAATAGCAGGAAGTCAACAGTACTTTATCAGTGCATGTAAACACATGAAATACCAGTAACGTCCACATTAAGCCTGACTTACTTTGATCTGAGCCACACTGCTCCTTAACTTCCTCAGTGCACCATTATGTTCATCCTCATCACTGCTGCTGCTGCTGTCGTTTGAGCTGCTGGAGGCGGCGCTCCTGGCGGGGGAGTGGCCTGCAGGACTGGCTCGAGGGGACGACTTCTCTTTGGGGCTTCTTTCAACCAAGCCGGCCTGTTGAGGCTTCTCTGCTGCAGGACTGGACTCGTCCTCTGAAGGTCCTGAAGACAGCATTATTGGATGAATATCAAAACAACAGCCACTAGTACGGCCACCGTTACAACATAAAATAGTTACAGCAGGTTTGACTCACCACTTTGTTGCTTTTGAGCAGGACAGGGCCTTTGACTTCTGCCTGGAGAGTCCATCCCTGAAAAAAAACAACGCACACATACACATTTATGATTCTAATAAATATTGCAACAGCGATCACAGATTAACTCATACACAAAGAAAAGCAGGAAGATTCCGTTGATTAACAAACGGGCCTTTTTATCAGCAATATTCAATTTTTTCATATTGTTATTCAATCCCACGAAAAGACCAAAATCAACATTCAATGTGCTTCAGTCCATCTCTCAATAATATCGGACTTCCCAACTCTGTGGCTCTCAAACCCACTGGTTCCTAATTTTTCACAAGTACATCGTTTCATATTTAAAACGCACTGTATAACTTCTAAAAAAACAAATGGCTGCTGTGTTTTTTCCTCACACGTCACTCGGGAGATTACTACTCATAGGTGCTCTCTTGAGTATTTCTGTCAGCAGGAAAAACGCTACTGTGAATGTCACTTCTAAAAGATATCAATAGTTTCGGCATTTTTTCTGGGATCATGATAGTATTGGCTCTTTAACTTGACAAATTAATTATATGATTTTCAAAATAGTTGCCAATATATTTTCTGTCCATCACTTGGTCGATTACTCGGATAATCTTTCCAGCTTCCACCATGTGAAGACAGTTTTTCCAAATATTTTTCTGTGCCAACTGACTCAATGTCTGAGACAAATACTACTAAACCACAGCAGGTATAAACGGTATTTTTTTGTATTTCGCTTTTGGGTGATCCGACCCTTTAAAATACAATGTAAAGAGTTTCACTTTCAAAGGAGTTTAGCTATATGTACCTGTAGCTAGCTAACGTCCTAATAGTTAAGCGCCCATGTCTCCGACATAACTTATATTAAATAAATAGAGCCGTACGCCTAAATTAGTCATGTGGGCCGGTTACTACAACAATATCACCTGTATATATAAAACCCAAACTCCAAAGACCATGTCTGTTTTATCGCCATGTGTGTTTGGATGCGCCTAAGTTAGCTAGTAAGCTAATCCTAACTTAGCTCCAGCAAGTTAGCTAAGATGCTAGTTATTTGTCGATGAAACCTCCTGACTTTTTACTCTGTATATTTCAACAGAAACTATCTGCAATTTCTGTGACTTTTAATGTACTCTTACCGTTCTGTTTTCCTTATTTTTGTCCGTTAAATCAGTGTCGTTCTTATGGCGGAAAACTTCCTACAATAAGTTAAATACTTCCAGGTAACGGACAGCTTCCGGATTTCACAATAAAAGTCCAGAGGCTGCTTGGAAGTAATGGCTTTTTTCTGTATCGCCCCCTGGTGGTGAACATAATTACCTCCACAATGTGAAGTCCTTAGTCCATTATGATGGTAATTTAGGATAGGAAAACAATAGCAATGTTGTAAAGTTGAACTATATCCACGTAAAAACGGCAAACATGTCTAAAGAAAATGTACTATTGCACTTTGAACTTTTGAAAAAGTTTCTGTTGAAGTGGCAGTCAAAATACAAATGCCAGAAGAATTTGAAAAAGCAAATAAATGCTTTTCTAAAAAGTGTAAGTACTGCATGAAGTTGAAGATTCAGTTGAAATTCAAGCACTGAAAGGAGTTGAAATGTCAGTCAGTGTAGTTGACTCTATAACAATGCATCATATCTTAAATGCTCAATATTGGTTAAAATCGTATCCTACAAAGTAAATAGAAACTATGGATGTCAGATAAATGAGTAAAAATACAATATTTCCATTTGAACTGTAGAGAAGCAGAACTATAATCAGCAGGAAGTTAAGCAGGACTCATCTGTACTGAAAATAAATACATCTTTATTATTCTCATCTCTACAGAGTGATCCCTCCCCTGCATCCCACTGAGAAGACATCAATACAAAGTACACATCATCATTAATAAACATCAATAGAAATTATTAGACACCAATAGTCAGACAGTGAACTGAAATTAGAAGTGTGTGAAGGATTTTCTTGATCAGTTAAAAAAAAAAAAGAGAATAAAAACACGTTAGAGCTCACAGTGAGTGTTGGTCCAGAAGAGCAAAGTTTGTGATCATCAAAAATTATAATCTTAAAACAAACAGTCAATAAATGATGATGAGAATAAAGGTTCTAAGGTCCAGTTATGATTTAGAGCATCGAATTAAGACTGTGAGATGTGGCTGAAAGCTCAGACTCATCACCTTTGAGCTCAGATTCTCGTCACCATATATTGTTCCCAAACATCAACAAAAAGACAATCAATAAATTGTTTCCCAAAAGTTCAGCTTTCAGTATGTAATTTAAATTCTAATGTGAGTTTGTGTTGAAATTCAGAAAATCAGTTCGTGAAGATTAAAAAAAAAAAAAAAAAAAAAAAAAAGAAGAGGTATTTTGGAGGGTGTTTGTCTTGATTGACAGGTCTCTCAGCCAATCATACCCCGCTATGGTGGGTGCAGAGTGTGTGTGTCACCTCAGCTACTCCCAAGATTTTGCTTTCAGTCACTGATGGTCGATCTGAAAACCTGCGAGGCACACACACACACACACACACTATACAACAGGCTTTATTGCTAAAGAAAACAGATGTTGAGTAAATGGTCATTAGTAATTCATTGTTCATTGATCAATCACTTCTGTGGATTCTGTGCAAAGAGGAGGAACATCCGATTTTCTCAACAAAACCAGCAAGCTGCGGATTAGCTGGTATCAGTCATGCTGCAGTGGAGCAGGATGACCTGCAACATTAGCAGTGATTTACTGATACCACAGTCTCAGGAATCCATATACATGTTCATATTATTGCACAGATTTGTCATCGGACAGTCGGAAGCTAACACACTAACGCGGCTAACATGCTAGTGCAGCTAAGGTTTGGGCTACTCTGCCTGCTCCCCCATACATGGTCTGCTGACCAGGCATTGCATCATCACCAACATCATCACTGTCGCCATGACAACTTACTGAAACCTGCTGCTGCAGAGTGACCTTTGACGTCTGCAGTACCTAATGACATCACTCGCTAACCCCATCACCTGCTCTGTAACAACCAACACACGCACACACAAAACAAAGACTAAGTGTTAAAGGGACAGTCCAACATTTTGTTAAATCTTTTCAGTTCAGGATAGGTTTTGCTAAACAAATCTGACAAAAATGGAAACTGACAGATTCAACTGTGAATGAGGCTAGAGGAGCAGACGCACAATGACAATGATGGTGATGATGATAAAGTTGTGTGGACAGCTGTACGAGCATAAACCTTTAACGGTGTATCTTTAAAACATCTTTAAACCGTTTACATGAAGGTGAAATGTGCATGGAATGAATAACTTTAAAGAGTAAAAGCTAAGTTTGACAGAAACCTCCACTCTTTTTGAAGTTTAAGGAATGCAAACGCAAACAAAAGGACAGGAGGGCTTAGATTACAATATCATTAATAAGGCACTTACAGCATTTCTAAGGGAAGTATTCCCCCTGTATGTGGCTTTGAAAGATTCAACTCAGCCAAATTACTAAATGAATGAATATGTTTTAAGTAACAAGCTACTGATTTATTATTATCATCATTATTATTATTATAATTATTATTATTACTATCATCCATACGTACTGATCTGATCTCAGACTGGGATCGTGGGCAAAAGAAATTCACAGGACTGGGACTGTGGTGGTACTGGCAGAGTACTATTAGCAGTAGTACTTGTAGTATTAGTAGTAGTAGTGTGAGGCCTGGCTTTGATCAAAACAGCTTAGAAACAGGAAACAGGATGTGACGACGACACATCACCACTGATGGTTCACAGGGACAGCTGGTGTACCCAGCATGCATCACACCAGCACGCCAGAAACAAACAGACACGGAGAAGTGCAAGTGTCCCGTCTGAGGCCCCGCCCTCCACAGGTGTGGTGGGCGGGGCTTATCACACGTCAGCGATGTGCTTCCTTCGTCAGCAGTGTTACAGACATACAGTGTTATAGACGCATAGTGTTCACACGGACAATGTTACTCAGCTATACAGTGTTACAGACAGACAGTGTTGCTGTGGTTACTGAGGCTGAAAGTGAAAGGGGTGGTGCTCTGCTGTTGCCGTGACTACAGCGGGTGTTGCCTGCCGGGCAGGGGAGATTGCCGTGGCGACATGGCAGCCAGCAGCTCCCTGTAGATCTCCTGTCGGACCTCCTGCGCCACGCTCTCTCGAATCTGGAAGAGAGCAGAGACAGAATTGGTTAACATTTAAACACTCAGGTCCTTTTTCAGGCTTATTTGAGAGTTAAATGAGCAGTTTGAAAGTACAGACATGAGATTGGTATTAATTAAAGGAAGCATTCTGCAGCTACCAAACTTTTACTTCATCCTAACAATGTAAAATATAATATAAAGTCCACCAACAACAAGCCTAAACAAAACAAAATCCTTTCAAACAAAAACGATGACAAAACGTATTACAATTTCCATCAACAAATAAAACATGACATTGTTAAAGATGGACAAATGGACATGTTTTCTCATTGGCTGTTGTTATTCTCTATATACACAGCTAACATTAAACATTCCCACAATGGCAGTAATAAACATAAGAGTGGACTTTACTTAACCAGTGAAGTACCAGTAAAATTAAAAGTGCTGACAGATTGTTACCTCTCTGATGAGCTGGTGCAGGTTCCCCACTCCGATTCCTCCTGATGCTCCTTGCTCCTCTGGTACTCCTCCCCCGTCACTCTCTCCCTCTTCCCTCTCCTCTTCCTCAGTACGTGTGTTGGGTCGAGGAGGGGGGACTGGGTTTATGTTAATTGATGCCCGGTACACGCCTCCTTTCTGCTCGCCATCCCCTCCTCCTGGGGCTGGACTGGAGGTTCGGGAGGAAGGTGCGGTGGAGGGGGAGTGACCGTCGTAGCTGAGCTCTGATTGAAGGAGGAGCTGCTCTCTGAGGAGGTCTGACACCTAAAGAACAGACAGGAAAAGGTTGTACATTAACACAAACTTAATCATTATTATTCTCCAAAAAATGACTGTAATGTAATTATTATGTTTATCTAACACATGTGTGTGTGTGTGTGTCTGTGTGTGTGCACAAACCGGCTCCATGGCTCTCAGCGCAGAGGTGGTGGACATACTGTCAAAGCTGCTGTCCCTATGGTGACCCTGAGGGAGAGAGCGGTTCACATCATGTCTATCAGTTTGGTCCAAAATCACATAAATTGTCTCAAAAGGGTTTTAAAAACTTCAGCTATGGTATTGTATGTGTATACCATGTGCTGTGTGTTTTTGTGTGAATATACCTTGTGTTGTATATGTTGTGTGTATTGTGTACACCCCGTGTTGTGGGTTTTGTGTGTATATCGTGATGTGTGAAGATCGTGTATGTTGTGTGTGCTGTGTGTATATACCAGTGGCGGGCCGTGCATTTTATACCTAGGCCTTCACTGTTGTCCTGCAGCTGAAATACCACCTTATAACCACATAATGGCGCCACAGTTATTATTTGTTTCTGAGGCTGTAACTATGTACGTCTTCGTATTAAATCGTTCGGTACGAGGCTTACAATACATTTGAATAGTACTAGAGCATTTGGAAAATGCAGAAGCTTATATTCAGGAAAATATAATGTTTACTGCGATCATGGAGGACAGTGGTTCTCAGCTGGTCTGGCTGTGGGATCCACCATTATTCCTTAATGACAAGTCACGGCCCAAAGAGATCGTCTTATGATTTTACTTTCACAACTTGAACATTGTACGTACTGCTCTGCAATGTCTTTCCTCGTCTCAGTCCCCTGTGTCATGGTGTGTGGTACATCTCACTCGAGTCAGAATGCCCATATTTGATTGGCTGAGCTGCATCACGTGATGTGATTCACTACCCGACTAAGCCTCTGCTGTTAAGTTTTGTTTCACGATAGTCACGTGCTCGCCCACTGACTAATCACACCACACTCTGCACCTCGCGGCAGAGCTGTACATGGACACTGAGCTGCACGTAATGCTGACGTCATTATAGGCCAGCTAGCAGGCTCCGATACGTCAAAGAATATGCCCAACATGGCAAACTAAAGATCTGATTGGTTGAAGAATATGACAATCAACAATATCGTCCCCATTCACTTAAACTACAAAGGGATTCACTTGTAAGTCTGCAGGCCACGGGCCTCTCTTCTTACCTAGAGACACAGAGGTGAAATCTGATTGGATAAAAGCTCTACTTCAAACAAGCTGCACTGGAAGCAGAGCAACTGAGGAAGACAGTAGCTGTGCAATGAGAAAATAAGATAATGGGAAAATATTTTTATAAATTATAATACATGTAGTGTATTTAAGAAAAAATATTAAATTATAAAATAGAAAGGCCTTGCAGGCCCTGACGGCCCACCACTGGTATATACCCTGTGTTGTGTGTGTTTGTATGTATACACACTGTGTTGTGTATATTTACCCTGTGTTGTGTTTGCGTAAAGATACCCCGTGTTATCTGTTTGTGTGTCTATACCCTGTGTTGTGTTTGTGTGTTAATATACCCTGTGTTGTGTGTTAATATACCCTGTGTTGTGTGTGTTGCGTGTTTATACCCAGTGTTGTGTGTGTTGCGTGTATATACCGTGTTGTGTGTGTTGCGTGTATATACCGTGTTGTGTGTGTTGCGTGTATATACCCTGTGTTGTTTGTATTTGCATGTATATACCCTGTGTTGTGTGTGTTGCGTGTATATACCCTGTGTTGTGTGTGTTGCGTGTATATACCCTGTGTTGTGTGTGTTGCGTGTATATACCCTGTGTTGTGTGTGTTTTCGTGTACATACCCTGTGTTGTGTGTGTTTTCGTGTGCATACCCTGTGTTGTGTGTGTTTGCGTGTACATACCCTGTGTTGTGTGTGTTTGCATGTACATACCCTGTGTTGTGTGTGATGTGTCAGCTCCATCAGTCTGTCTTCCAGCTGCTGTTCTAGCTCCTGCAGTTCCTCTCTGACCGCTGACCTCAGAGACTGAAGCTGCTCTACCTCCATCCTGCACACACACACACACACACACGCATGAGGTTTGTTTTGTATCGCATATTATTACAGTCCAGATTACTGTCAAACATGTATCTGTTTGCTTTAATGAGTCACCTGTCAGCAGGGCTCAGGTGCTTGTAGACCAGGGCCTGTTGTTGGATTATTGACTGCTCCAGGTCCGTCATCTGAGTGCGGAACAAGTTTAGACTCTGCCTCTTCTGCTGAAACTCTGCCAAAGACTGAAATCAGAGAATCGCACTTAAATGAAGCCGACAACTGTCAACTATGGCGTCTTAGATGAAAACGGTCTAAATACATCATACTGCAAACAGTATGTATAGTTTAGGTTATGCAAAGCTACTATGTCAGTTTATTATATAAATCTGAACACAAAGTGGTGGGAAATATGTTAGTATTGAACATGTGGTCTTCACACCTTATCTCTTAAGTAAAGACCCGGTCAGAGAACATATCTGCCTTCAAAGGGAACTTGTGATTTTGTGTTTGTGTCATGGAAGTCCAATGAAAACTGTGTATTGTAAGATGGACATAGACTTTAAGTGCAGGAAGCCTCGCTGCTGGATTCTACACACAAACTAACCCATAGAAATTGCTAGATAAGTGATGACCTTACCTGGTGGTTGGGCAGAGCTGCTCTGTGCTCACTGAACGCGTCCGGAGTGTCGGCTCGCTTCTAGATGGAGGGAGGACAGTGATGTCAGGACAGGAAGCGGAACAGGACAAGCTGATGAAAGGATACGTGCTAACCTAGTTAAAACTAAACTATAGGAAGTGATGTCATTACCCCTGGTGTTGGGGTTTCAGAGGGGTTTTTAGGGTTCGGGAGCAGCAGGGAACAGCTGATCAATCGCACAATTTTCCGCCTGCAGTGTTAACAGCCGTTGCTGCCAGTTTACCACCATTGAACTAGAGGCCTATGTATAAAACACCAGATCTAAAGAAAATTACTGCTTAAGACCATATGCTAATTAGACTAAGACTGGAATAAATGCAACACACAGAGTGCTGGTGAACTGTAAAATTACAACTGCAGCTTACAGAAAAGTCTGACATTTTGGGAACTATGCTTCTTTACTTTCTTGCTAAATGTTAGATGAAAAGATTGATACCCCTCTCATGTTTTTACGCTAAATATGAAGCTACAACCTGAAGCCAGCTAACTAAGCTTAGCATAAAGTCTTAAACATGGGGAAACAGCTAGTGGCTCTGTCCAAAAATAACAAAAAACACCTTAGAGGTGCTCTGAAGCTCACTTAGTAACATGTTTTATATCCCTTGTTCAATTTGTATAAAACCCAAAGTGTAAAAAGAAAACCCATACCGTATGGGAGGATATGTACCAAACTATGCTTTGGTCAGGATTTGTTTCAGACAACCAGTGGACACTGAAGGAAGTTACCGGTCCCAATAAAAGATTATTCACAAAATTATGGACGTGTTTTCAATTTTACCTCCAAATACAGCGGTAGCTAATCTAACATCTAAAGCTAAAGTGTTAGCCTGATCATAGTCTGATCATCTAACCTCTTGCGTTTGTTATTCCATTGGATCTAACTTTATGGCAACATAGCAATGAAAATAAAACCAAATTTAAATATAGTGCGACTACAACCACAACGGACTACAGTTTAAGTAACAAGAGCTCAAGGGACTGGTACTGAGGAGGACTAACCTGGCTCAGATTCTGAACCGTTCCTCTGATGTCATGCAGAACTCTCCTCAGCTGCATCTCTGTACTGGATGGGCCCTGGCTGGGTCCTGAACCTGGAGCAGTATGAGGAGTGAGCCCCGGGTGGAAACTGTGACCCGGGCCGAGGCTTGAGGCCAGGCCTGGGAAGAAACCTGCAGCAGGAGTAGTGAACCCTGGCTGGAGGCTCTGACCCGGGCCAAGGCTTGAGGTCAGGCCTGGGAAGAAACCTGGAACAGGAGGAGGAAACCCTGGGTGGAGGCCGTGTTCTGGGGCCAACGGTGGACACTGGGTGACGGGGTGGGGAAACGCCAGGTGTGGGTTCATGTTGTACACATGGTTACCAAGATAGGGTGATGCAAACTGTGAGCCGCGAGGAGAGGCATGGTAAGGTGACTGATGACCGTATAGTTGATTGTACGCTTGGTGGTGCATTGCTGGAGATCCTGGATGCAAGTTGCCCAGATTGAAGGGTTGAGGAGCCGTGGAAGTTGAGAGCTGATGCAAGTTGGAGAGGCTGCCGTGCTGAGAGAGTGTGGGAGTTGTAGATTGGTAGAGACTGGTTAGACTAGAATGTTGGGTCAAGTTTTGGTGGTGAAGGAGGTTAGGAAAACTGGCGTATGGATGGAGAGGGGATGGGTACTGCGGAGGAGGGTTCAGAGAGAAGGGGTATGGGCTGGGGTTAAGGCTGGGGCTGGGATTTGGGCTTGGGTATGCGTACTGAGCTGTAGGATTAGGATTAGGATAACGGAACATCGTCTGCCCTGGATTCCAATTTTTCTGATTTTGGTTGGCAGTCATGTTCTGATGGAACTGGCCCGGCTGCTGCTGATTTGAGGAGAGATCAGGAACGCTCTGGGTGCTCCAGGTGTGGGCGTCTCCTGGTGACAAGTCGTATGGAGGGCTGCTGTTCTGCAGGGAACAGGTTGACCGCAGTAGATGGCGTGGGATGGGTTTAGGTGGGATGGAAGCTTCTGTGGGGAGCCTTGGTGGTTGGTTGTTAGAGTCAGGCGAGGGGGCAGGGTTTATAATAAGAGTAGACAGACAATTGGTTTGTCCTTCCTCCTCTTCTTCTTCTTCTTCTTCTTCTTCATCTTGCCCTTCGGCAACATGGTTGTATTTAAAGGAGTACCTGGGCTGCGTGCAGGACGCCTGGCCTCGACCAAACTGGATCCTGACAGAGGACACGATCCTGCAGGGCGAGGGGAACGAGGAGGGCAAGGAGGGCAAGGAAGAGGACCTCTGTAGAGGGATACCACGTCTTCCTCGTTCTCCCCCTGGGGTTTGGGGCAAATCGGCGGACTGGGGGTTGACCCGCTGCTCACCCCGGGTCACCTGTTTCTGTTTGGCTCGGATCAGAGCACTGAGAACTGGAGACGAAGGAGTAGGAGGACGACAAAGTGAACCATAATCAGCCAAGAATGCATGCTCTTCTTTGGCCTCGTCCTCAGCACACACTCCCTCTGTGGGTGGTTCTGTATCTGTGGCGGTCTCATTCTGGTTCTGAGTGTGTTGTGGTTCTTGTTCTGAAGCAGTCTGATTCTGAGTGTGTTCTAATTCTGGTTGTGGCTCTTGTTCTGCAGCAGACATACTCTGGGAAGTCCTTTGTTCTGGTTCTGGATCAGTCTGTTCCCCTCTCTCAACTTGCTCCTCCTCCCTGGTCTCATCCTGCGTTCCCATTGGTCTGTTCCTGGGGAGATGGTGGACTGCATACTGGAGTATCTGCTCTGAATTCCCATCATGCTTGTCTTCTCCCCTGGAATTACTTCTCCCATCAGCCTCAGCAGCAACATCAGGCTCCGCCTCTTCCTCTTGGTCATCTGGCAGCTCGAATGCTGGCTGATCCATTGCGAGGGGCGTGGCCACATCTATTGACGGATGTGATGTCACAGTGGTCTCGCTGTCACAGCTGTCACTGCTCTCCTGCACCTATTCACAATGAATCGACAATTAAATACCAGCGGTGGATGAGGTACTCAGATCCTTATATGAAGTAAGAGTACCAATACAACAATGAAAAACATCTCCATTACAAGTGACAGTCCTGCATTCAAACTCCTTATCAAGTCAAAGCACAGTTTGAAGTATTATCTGCAGTCGATGCATCAATGTGTAAGTAGCATTCCACTGTTGTAGCTGGTCATGGTGGAGCTACTTTTAACAACTTAATATACAGTTAGGTAGTTTCATTCGGTGGCATCGAATATAGGTCGGTTGGTCACAAGATAAATCCAACGAGTCATGAGATGATTAATAAGATTATTACTAAAACAAAGTTCAGCTCCATAAATATATATACACTGTATATTATATATATTATATTTTTGGAAGGGGATATTGGATAATTTCACTTACATAATCTTATGTAATCAAGCAGTTATCTCAGTGAAAACATCCGAGTGGTTTCGTGAAAATAAATCACTTACTTAACTGATCACAAATGACAGACATCTGATATCTTTAATATTTAACTGTGTATGCATTTGATAAGCCTCTAACATTTTTTTATTTTTTTTATTCAAATGGCCCTCTCAAAAGTATAAAGTAAATATATGTATTAAATAAATGTGATGGAGTAAAAAAATGTCCTTCTAAAATGTAGTGGTGTAAGTAAGTAGCAGCATATGATTTAAATACTCCATTAATGAACAAGTACCTTACTTAAGCAGAGTAGTTGAGTAAATGTGCCAAGTTACTTTCCACCACTGTTAATCAGCGGTTGAAAGTAAAAGAAGATTCTGAGAACCTGAGAACCTGCAGGGAAAGACTAATTAGGTTGAGGTCCCCATGAGATTAATTGTCTATTTAAATTAATAATATAACTATATTGCCTTCTTAAAAGGGAAAGGAGACTGCACAAATAACGCATTCACTCAAATGTGGAAAACATCTAAATATGTGATCTGTAGTAATCTGCCAGAATTAAAAATCCCCAGTGTTTAAGCACAAACATTGCAGTGGCTTGTACTCCAATTGGGTGGGGGGTGG